AGGATTGAGAAAAAGCAAAAACAATTTCACAAGACTGGAATAAAAGAGAAAAACTATCTCTTCTGGATAATTTAAAAAAAATAATACTACAGAGAATAAAGCAAAAAGGCACACCCTTCACATGAGCAAATCTGGACATGAAATCACCAACATCACAAGGAGCAAACCTGTACATTGCTAAAATAAGCCATAACCAAGCTCAGTAACTGGTCACAGGAAAAGAGAATTTGGAAACACCAGTGTGTGAAATATCTAACTTGTGAGTGTGTTGTTTAACACACCACCCAGCAATATGCCAGATACACTGTCATAGCAATTAGGAAATAATTCAACTACAGCCAATTTAATAATTGACATGGTTAGCACGGTACCATGAGTGAGTGAGTGAGTTTAGTTTTACGCCGCACTCAGCAATATTCCAGCTATATGGCGGCGGTCTGTAAATGGTACCATGAAGTTGAAATAAAACAAGTCATTGAGTGTGACCAGACAAATGTCAAATGTTTCTCAATCTAAAGTAGATAAACAAATCTATATTGCATTCTAGACATACAAGAACTCCCATACAAATTTCGCTGTTCACCAACCTGTCTGAATTTAAAGTGATCTGGCTACCAATGAAGGATTCATACAAATCTGAAATGAACATGAACAGGTAAAAACAGTAGAAATCCTACATATTTACAATGAAAATATTTACATATCTAAATAAAAAACCAACATGAATATGACAGATAGGTTTTTGACATAATAAACAGTACACACAAAAACTGCACACAAAGGGTAGAGCAGGTGAATATGGACCTATCCAGCGATTTCCTTACTACGTGAATTAGGAAGTGTGCACCCTCCATTTCTAAAAATCCTGGATCTGCCTCAGATTGCAAATACACCAGTTATTTTTCAGCTACTTGTGTATATACTGCACCATCCAAGCAACCAAACAGTTACAACACAAGAAGGAAAGTTAGTCCATTGGAGAACCAGCATCTTAATATCAAACCTAGAGCTTCTTTAGCCTTATTCAAACCCATCAAGCGATACCTGGGATGGTACTCTATAGCACTGACACACCTGTTTTCAATGCTGAGTCTGTACTCTATAGCATGAGTGAGTGAGTTTAGTTTTACATCGCTTTTAGGCAATTTTCATCGCTGAGGGGATAGCTGTGTGGGCTTGAAGGATTGTAATGTAGGAATGAGTCGGGAGTTTCTTGAAGAGTTTTAACACTAGGCTAACCCACTGTATTCCAGATTTAATGAATCTGAACATTGAAGGGGGATAGCAGAAATGGGCTTCACACATTGTACCAACATGACCAGGAATCACAGCTTTGGGTCTTTCAACATAGGTCTTGAAGAGCAAACAGCTGATCCAGCTCTGGTGACTCCCCCTACTTCAACATAGACCAGCTGATCTGAGCACTACAGCTCTGGTGACTCCCCTACTTCAACATAGACCAGCGCTGATCGTAGCACTACAGCTCTGGTGACTCCCCTACTTCAACATAGACCAGCGCTGATCGTAGCACTACAGCTTTGGTGACTCCCCTACTTCAGCATAGACCAGCACTGATCGTAGCACTACAGGAAAACAACTGAAATACTTTAACATGGCCTTGTATTGACTGTAGTACTATTGTCATCGGAATTAACCATACAAAATGTGAATCGACTGTAGCACTAAAGCTATCTTAACTCCCACACCTTAACACAGACTTGCTTTGTGCAAGTGGGCCTTGCTATGGTATCCTCATGGGCACCATCCAGTTGGCCCTGTTCTAGACAAAGGGGACAGAGAGTGTCCCCAGTACACAGACCCAGGATACATTCCAATATCATCTTCCTACTTTGACATGTGTCACAAAATATCTACAATTTATCAAACTTTGAAGGACCTCTTGCTTGGAATAATGTTCATAATAACAATTTTTATCAGTTTTTATAAGTTTCTGTTAAGCAAGCAGAGAATACATGATGAAAGGATATATCACAAAAGAAACACAACCAATTATTCTTTAGGAGGAATGTGAGAAGAAAGAAGCAATTAATAAATAGAAGCAAATTGATACACACTTACAACTAATCTACTGTAGCACAAGCACTGAACACTACTGTCTGTCATCTGTTGTGACAGCACTGTAAGAAAGGACATCACTGTTCACAGTTTGGCACAATATTAAATTCAGGTTTCATGCCATTTCGATTCTTCTAATATTTTAACTTGTGGTAAGATACCTTTACCTATTCTACATGCAAAAAGGTTTTCAATGACAAATCATAATTTGAATGAAGTGGAGACCAATTTCACTTTTGTTTTACTTGTTCAGTAATGAGTGAGTGAGTGAGTATGGTTTTACGCCGCTTTTAGCAATATTCCAGCAACATCACGGCAGGGGGCACTGAAAATGTGCTACATACTTAGGACACATGTGGGGAATTGAACCCGGGTCTTCGGCATGACGAACAAACGCTTTAACCACTAGGCTACCCCACCACTACTTGTTCAGAAGATAACACAGACTCAAAACAAGCTTGTTATGAGATTTCAGTGTCAATTGTTCAACATGAGCATTTTGTAATTGTATGTGAATACAGCTAAGCACCGACTTTCAGAAGCTCCAGTAAGTTTCACAGTGATTTAGAATGTCATGCACCAGCAGGGTATACCATTACAGTTTTTCAATATAACACGCATGGGACTGAATACACATACCACAACCATCCAAGCACTGTTGAGAGTTTACTTAAACATCATTACATAAGTACAACTTATAAAGTATAAATGACCAGTCCTTGATAATGAAACTACAGCCTTGAACAGCATGTCAATTCTATCTCGTCATTGAAGTCTCAAAGCAATATACAGACTTAAGATATTAACAAGGAACACCTACAAGTTTTTACAAACCAAAGACCATATTAGGGTGATTTGTTTATCCACTATGAGAGGGTTCTGGCAACATTTGGCCATATGGTGGTGAGATGTAACCACTGTGGCAATCTTAGGCCACATAGTGGTGAGATGTAACCACTGTGGCAATCTTAGGCCACATAGTGGTGAGATGTAACCACTGTGGCAATCTTAGGCCATATAGTAGTGAGATGTAACCACTGTGGCAATCTTAGGCCATACAGTGGTGAGATATTACTTACGTGTCAAAATTAGGCCAGAAACAGCTAAGGCCACAGCACCAACATTAGGCCATGTAGCAGCATTCTAAGCACTCATTGCTGACGTAAGACCATACATAGCTGATAGTAAGAATAATACCCGGTGATTACAGGGTACATTAGGTTATACAGACATGATATAACCGTATGTGGTGATAGAAGATGACGGTGCCGATATTTGACCATATATGGCTGCCTTAAAAGACCACAGCGCCGTTGAGACACAGAGTAGTGATATAACGTCACATAATAGGCAATATAGTGGTTATATAGAAGACCACAGTGCCATTGATACACATAGTGTGGTCATATAGGACCCTACTAGCATTGTTTGGCCATGTAGTAGTATTATAGTATAGTTATAGACAGTATGACAGTGGTTTGGAATCATAGCAACACATTGTGGGGACACAGAAATGGGCAATGTTTGAACCCCACATAGTGGCACTAGGCCACATAGTGGCACTATAAGACAACAGGGCAAATGATAGGCCATAACAAGGTTGATTCACAACCACTATCACACCATACTGGCATACTGAAGGCATGAAACTCTTTACAATACACATACTGATTATGAGTCGAAATAAACATGCTGCTTTAACATCAAGTCTCTCATCTACCAGTATAGCACCTTGTTTAAGTAGATGGACACAATGCTTGGTAACACACTGCAGGCAATATGACAGACACGAAATCTGTTCAATTAACTGTATCCCAGGTCAGAAACAGAACCACGCGATCACCATATTAGAAACCCTGTTTGAAAACGACAATCTCATTTTTATCAGCATATTACAGATCTTTTCACAGAATATTTCAGCAGTGCAAAAGGTGTTTATATTTGCCAAGTTACTACTACCAAAATTCAATAGCTGACAAAAATAAAACGTGTATGAGCACCACCATATAAGTTTCTAAGAGACTGAGGTGTTACAGCAAACATAGGTCTCATTTGCATCCCTTATCCAATCCCTACACATTTTCAGTGAGGGTAGAAATAACTTTAAAATTGTGTGTGAGTGAGTTGGATAATTATTTTAATGCCGCTTGTTGATTTTTAGCAATACTCCAGCAATATCACAGTACGGGGACACCAGAAATGGGCTTCACACATTGTACCCATGTGAGGAATCGAACTCCAGGTATTCAGGGGGACACCAGAAATGGGACACATTTTCAGACAACTTTGGGGTATTACAGAAATGTTAGATAAAGTGGTCATCATGAAGGTGCTACTGTACATATGTGGAACTGGAAGATTCAACTGTATGAAAATATACCATGTAAGTATCATAAATATGAAGGTGATAACTGTGTGAACATTCTTGTTGTGAAAAACATAGCTCAAGTTGACCCTGTTTAATAATAATCAAAACAAATTGTTAGTTTTACTTCTCTTCGAGAAAACACTTACATCTAAAATTCAGAACAACAAATCCAAAATACATAACCTGGTTCTATCAGTGATTTCAGCAGTATCATTGACACTTGTCATCTGGAACCGTTATCAAATGCCATAGAGTTACATGCATCTATTTACATCCTCTCGCCTATGCCATGAACAAAGCAAAGTGAACAGAATCTCTACAGCAACAAGTAAGGAAGTAAAGCACATCACATAAACCACTACAAGTCACTACAGTTATACTGCAGAAGCTGCAAACCTCATCAACTCATAAGTAATCTAGTCCATCTAGTAATCTGAATTTCATCGACAACAGCATAGTCAACATAGGGTAATACTAAGAGACCAATGTGTTTTGTTTTAAGCCACTTTTAGCAATATTCCACCAATATTACGGCAGGGGACACCAGAAATGGGTCTTCAGCATGACAACGAATGCTTTAACCACTAGGCTACCCCACTGCCTCTGGTATTGTAAGACCACAGAGCCGAAATTAGACCATAAAGACCTATAACTCATCATGAAACTAATTAAGGATGGCATAAGACCACTGTGTAAACAAAGCCATTCTGTAGTGATATTAGCCTACACAATGCTGAAGTATAACCCTGTGTTTGTTTGTTGTTTATTTCAATATTTCAGCTGTATGACACAGTCTGCAAAAGATCGACGCTGGACTAGACATTTCAGTGACTGACAACATTAACACTGATCAACAGTGATAGGCATCAACCTGGTCACCTCTCATCATTTATCATTATCACATTAAGTCCCAAACACTGAAGCATTCGTGAATTATATTAGCTCTCCATATGTCATAATCTGTTTGAATTATGGATTTGATACAGGTGACACTTTAAAATCAAAGCAAAGAATATACATACAAAACTGAGATAAATAAACTACTTCCAACAGCTGAACAAATCAGGTTTGCACAAATAATACACTGTACTGTTTTAAGGAATTCATATGCTCTTCAGTCAGCTGTATTCTGACAGATCAATGGAGTTAAAAACAAAATATCAACTCTTGAGTGTTTTCAGGACATGAGAATTCTTGCACAAATCCAAACCAGGATTCTATGTGCTCAGTGAAAGTTGACATTATCTCCCCTTGTTCAAGGCTGACATCAAGGTGACGAGGAGGAGGTTCGAGATTCGTATATCATCTTGAAGGCCTGAAAAGGTACAAACAAGTAAGTGATACAGGAAATATATCTCATGAAATCTTTATCAAAGTCTAAAAGAATTTCACACAAAGGTATGACGTATTTCTGGAAACAACTAGGCTGGCTAATCAAATTTACAAGATCAGTTACAAATTCCTACAGAAACAATCACACCACGCGAGTCCAATGATTGTGATATGATTAATTGCAGCCCTAAACCAGACACACAATATCATGCAACAATACTTGACTGAATCTCCCTGCAATGATGAAAGCCTGCACTGATGACACACTCAGCGTTATATACCTTCTGCATGGCTGCCACCCACGTCATGCCCTGTTTCTTGTTGCTGCCATCAATCACCTCCATCTTGACTGTCTGACTGTCCTCATAGTTGTCCTTGTACCTCAAAGCGATCCCTGTGCCCATCTTGTTGCCTGGAATGTGAAGGTCAAGGTCAAAGCTGGCCAACCTACAGAGGTAGTTAAAAAGTGTTCATGATGCAATGACAGTGCCCGCATTGAAAATTTAGCCTAAGCTGTAGAGGAACTGAGATAGTTTCATTAATTGTATTGACAAGAATGAACTATGGGGCTTCAAGTTATCTTTATTTTTTTTATGCCTAAAGTAACTGACAATGACAAGACTTCTCAAAAGTTACAAGGTGAGGCATATCATTACAAATTTCCTGAGCCAGAAGTTTAATTTTAAGAAAAAGTTAAAGTCTAATCATGATTGCTTATCCTGTATATATTGATATGCTTTCATCTCCTAACTTGTTCATTGTTCTGGCTCTGAGCATAAATATTTTGCAAATGATACAAGAGAGTCTGCGAGTGAATTTGTTTCAATGATGTTTTGAACAGTACTTCATTTTGTGCTTCAGCTTGTTGAAGACAAGTATGAAGGGAAGCAGATGTCTGATGCTATGAACGTGGTGCTAATATTTGAAGAAACTGATTCCAGGCAAATCTTTGATTCAAAATATAGTAATTCTGTCAATCATGCAAAGGGGAATAACTCTCTACAGTGAATTACGTCTGTTTAGGCAACTGGGCATCCTAAGTAGATAGAGAACAACACATCAGACAAAATGATTATTTCAAAGGAGGTCAATGGGCAACACACAGTGTACTAAAACAAACAAAGTAAACAACGGATGTACATTTAGATATATGACATGAACTAAACATACATATAGGGTAAGAAGTAACTAAAGATGTAATTTGAAATCATTACACGAATGCTGGATATATTATGGCTTAAGGGGTCGTTGTCGGCACGGGTACTACAGATATGTACCTCAGGTACGTTTCTGTATACAGAAACGTACCTTGGCCATAATGAGAATATAGAAACGTACCCTAGGATGATTCCATTCCCATTGTGTCGTATTCTTAACTGGAACTGTCATACTGTTGTATTAGATACATTTGACTGTGTTATGTAAGTAATGAGAGTACACAGTAACGTATATTTTGCGATGCATATGAATACCACTCGCAATCAGTTGAACGGGAATAACTACATGCGGTTTCGGTTTTAGATTGAGGAATATGGACTCGTCCGCCTTTTAGGGTACCGGGTACGTTTCTGTATTTTGACTTTGTTTAGGGTACATATCTGTATACAGAAACGTACCTGGGGTACGTATCTATAGTACCTGTGCCGACAACGACCCTTCAGCTATATTATGAGGAACAAATTGTAATTTTATTTTTATCCTGACTCAAAAGCTGAGGGCCCTCCCAACCATCCCCTCTCACCACTATCTGGCCTCCCTGCAAGCCTCAATGGGGACAGATTTCGAAAAGAGTGACAATATGGCCGCCGGTCACATGGGACATAATGGCGACAAAGGAGGCAAAGGGGCCCTGTTGGGGTGAGTAAACTTTTGACTGTTCTTGGGAACATAAGGACAGAGGTTTCCACTCAACATTTGGAGGGAAAGGGGATAAAGCAATAAGTATGAGTCAGGATAAGGAATAATATACAGACTTTCTTGATACACTGACATGCAAGAAACATGGCAGAAGGACAGTTACGTGTGTTACCACCAACAAACCATGCTCGCACAACATCCAGCAACAAACCTTCCTCATCTGAAGGCAGGAAATCAAGAGAGAGTTGAATCTAACTTTATTCAAACTTCACATTTTTGTGTGTATCTGCCGTAATAAATGTTTACATCTAATCCAAAATTCATGACGATTTAACAGAAATGAATCAAGTTTGCAGGTTACATGAGGACCCGTGTCAGGTAAATAATTTAAACCCTGTTCCTGCATAAACTAGTCGGTTTGATTTCACCATGTGTCTGGTCAAATGTTCTGGTAGTATGATACATTATGTAAATTCATAGAACCAAAATAATGAACCAAACTTACAGTTTATATTTGTTGTTCAATAATAACAGTTAACATAGTTCAGAAGGAGTGCCAGGTTGCATCAGGCTGCATCAGGCTGCATACACATTTGAAACTATGGACCCAATGCATTTTAAACACTGGTTCATAACATTATCTCTACTACATGCCATGTCACTGGATTAACAGTTAATTCACATTCAGGCATTAATGATATATCAGCAAGTGAGTGAGTATGGTTTTATGCCACTTTTAGCAATATTCCAGTTATATCACAAGGGACTTTAGAAATGGGCTTCATACATTGTACCAATGCTGGAAATCGAACCGGATGCTTTAACCATTAGGCTCACTCACTCACTCACTCACTCCACTTTATTTCACTGGATTTATATATCTTCACTATATATATCGGCTGGGCCCAATCATTTTTGTATCTTTAACATGGTCAGTGTCTAGTTTTTGTGTGTTGTATCATAATCAAGATTAGAATCATATTATAACCTGTTCCTTGCAATCAAGATCGGCATAGAATTGCAACATTGATATCTACCTATGTATTGAGAATCATGACCAGGGCTCGATTTAGTGGTTTGTTCCTTGCACTGATGCAACCCAATATTACAAAGTGCAACCTAGTTATTAGTCTAACTTGCACCAGGTGCAAGTCAATTTTTGAGTCGGTAAACTTCTGAATAAAACATCTAAATAATTCAATAGCATAGTTCTTCATTACATATTGCAATAAAAGCAGTGCAACTGGAATCTGGCTGGTGCAACTAGGTTTTTATCTTAGGTTGCACCTGGTGCAAGTAGGTTAATATCTCTTAAATCCTGAATAGCCCTGAACACAATAGATCAGGTCATAGATGGCAATTATCTTGGCTCAGCCAGGTATGACGACGGAGCATGGAATGCACATGCTGCCTACAGGCACAAGGGGTCATCTCAAAGATATTTGGTGCTTTTTTCATGTGTGTTGACTATGTCTCATCTATTGATAAACATCTAAAGTGTCTTTCTTTCATATAGTTTCATATAGTTTATGTTGAGATATGTAAAAGAAGTATGATCGAAAACCATAGAAGATGTAGTATATCTGGCATGACCACCCATCGACAGGACATGTAAATTGTTATGATGTGCTTCATTCTCTATAACTCAGATTATCTTATCACAGCTGATAATAACAATAGCTGTGTGATCACCTATCTGCAACATGTTAGACTCACCTTGAGTATCAATGTCTGTAGTGACAACCTGTACTGAATCTCCGTCAATTTCAAATTGGGCATTTAAAGTTCCAAAATGGATTCTTTTCTTCCTGTCCCTCTCACCATCTTTAGTTAACGTCAGAGTCTGCAAGTCACATACAGATAGATCGAGCCCTGAATGGCAACATCAGGTCCCACACACTACAATGTTCTTACAGCTGTACTGCTCTATACACACAGGAGTCTTCACAGTCGTGTATCCACACACTACAATCACAGTTGCACTGCTCTATACACACCAGTCTAATCAAGACTCCCTTATTGATAACAATATACACATTGGGCCCAAATAGTGGAAATCAAGCAAAACAATACTTCAAACAACACGGTTTTACTTGACATACAAAACTGGAGGTCACAAACAATGAATTTCAAGGGCATCTTACAGATAAGATGAGGGTCATGTTTACCATAAAAATTGTGAAGTGCACTGAACTGTATCAATCTGATCATTTTTTATTCACAGAATCTTTATTTTTCTTGTCACATAATTTTACATATGAGTCTATTCTATAAATGTGTGAGTACTCAAGGGCAGATAGTCGGATACAGCTTTATGAGAAAGGGGGGTAAACAGTTCATTTTCACTCGTTTTCAAGAGAGTTTCAATGGTCATTTAATCAACTTTCAGGACAAAAGGGACGATGCGTACCCCTGCACACATATCCACCCACACACCCCACACCCCTCTGGATCCAGGTATGGTACTAGATTCGTATTTCTGCATCATGTAGCACCCTGAAACAACTTATTCAGTTCTGACTGAAATACTATATAAATATACCTACTGTTCTGTTAATTGATGCTCTTTAACCTATTTTGGCATGCTATTAAGAACTTCACTGTGGCAGTACACAACAATAATGTTTAGCTATGTTCTCTGCAGTATTCCGGCAATATATTGACGAACTTTATGGATAACAACTTCTTTTATTTTGTCAGTGCAACATCGTCTGACTGCATAAGAAGTTGTTATCCATAAAGTTTGAAATACTGTTCTTGCAAACTTCTAAAATGCCACTTAAAGAAATGTAACTGTGGCTGGTATATAAATTACTTTGGACCAGACAAACCAGTGTTTGATCTTACGAACAACATCCTGTGTTGTCAGACAACAATTACACCCATTCAACCACGTCGCACAGCCTGATCACTTGAACTTACATTAAGAAAATGTTGCTGGTGACCAATTTTACCATGGAATCCCAAAGGATGTACTAATATCTAACTATAACAACACTAATCAATTATATCTTGATTCACAAAATGACTCACCTGTGATTGTTGGAGAGTTTACAAAGGAAGGATTCTGAGTTGTCAGAGTTTTCATCCTGGTCCAGCATCAGGAACTGACCTCCTAAAAGGGGGAGATAACTCACAGACATAATATCACTCTTAACTTTCCAGATGTGCAAGCAAAACGGGGTACAGTATAATAGTCAAAAACTTGAAAATTTTAAACCATGTTATCCCACTTGCAGTTTAATGGGAACATATTGGTTTTACTATAACTCAAAAACATGTATTTACCTGTCAGCAGGGTTTTCAGATGTTTATCATAGAATTCATTCTCCTTAAAAGTATTTTCGTAGCAGTTATTGCAGTGCCGCACTGGGTCAACAAAGCACATGCGAGGGAGTGGCAACTTCTTATCACAGCAGGTATTGCAGTAGACCTTCCCACAACGTCGACAGTGATGCTGCAAGGGGAGATAACTCATCAATAGGAGATCAAATCTGGTAGTTGTGAAGTGATATGGTTAGAACTTATACAGTTTTGTAACCAAATTCGAGGCATAGACACAGAACAATGACTAACAAACCTCAATTGTAATATATACGATACAAAACATTAGAAGTTATATTGGTGTAAAAAGTATGAAATTAAAATGAGTGAGTGAGTGAGTTTAGTTTTATGCCGTCCTCAGCAATATTCCAGCTATATGGTGGCGGTCTGTAAATAATCGTGTCTTGACCAGACAATCCAGGGATCAACAGCATGAACATTGATCTACGCAATTGGGATTCAATGACATGTGTCAACCCAGTCAGTGAGCCAGACCACCCGATTCCATTAATGAAAAATGAAAATGACAAACAAAACTGTTCAACTACCAGCTTGTACAGATTCTTTAGCATAACATAAGAATTGGCGTTTTTGTCATATAATACCCAACCCTTCAATCTTTGAAACTTAAAACCAAATGATTCCGAGTTGTAATTCACCTGTAAAGTAAGAGCTCTGAATCAGGATACAAACAGCCATAGTATCACAGCATGTATCAAATCCCAACCCTATCATTACATCACTGTATGAGTGAGTGAGTGAGTGAGGTTAGTTTTATGCCGCACTCAACAATATTCAAGCTATATGGCTGAGGTCTGTAAATAATCGAGTCTGGACCAGACAATACAGTGATCAACAGCATAAGCATCGATCTGCGCAATTGGGATATGATGACATGTGTCAACCAAGTCAGCGAGTCTGACCACCCGATCCTGTTAGTCGCCTCTTACGACAAGCATAGTCGCCTTTTGTGGCAAGCATGGGTTGCTGACGACCTATTCTACCCTGGATCTTCAAGGGTCCACTATATGAATAGTGATGTATAACGGTATAGAGGCAACAATTATCCACAAGGATATAACACCTTTGTGACACCCATGAGCAAGGCTAACAAGCTGAACGAGTCAGAATCAGAGCAAATCTACCGTATATTACCGTCTATAAGCAGACCCCATGGATAAGACGACTCCCCAAACTTGACCCTAAAAATCAGTGTCAAAATGGTATGTTTCGTGCATAAGCCAATCCCCCGCGATGGGGTCCTAATCACGGCAAACACAGACCACAAACAACTGGCAGTTACCAATAATTATAACTTTGGTCCACATTATTCAAAGAATTCACAATCATATAAATTGCACCTACTCACGGATCGAAACGAAGTGTAGTTGACAGAAAATGCATAATATATTTTGTTTCTCTAAATATCATATTGATTGTAGCAACAAACTGGCTTGCTTATTTTACCCCATTCAACAATCATGAACTGATTACAGCCTCGTTTTCCATTGACTGCTAATTTACAGTAACATCGGTAAAAATGTGTGAATTTAAATGGCTTCTGTATTTTACCCCATTCCATGTGCGTACAACTTCTGCTTACTACGTTCATGAGGGTCCGTATAACCTTAGTGTTGATTACCGGTATATATATTTTACATAAAAACTGTAATTACAATTACACAATGTTAGGTTATATTTCTTTGGGTTAAATAATAGTACTCTGTATTATATTTTACTGACAACTGCGTCATAATTCATCCCGTTATATTATTGTGCATGTTTGAACTTGTTCGCTGCTGATTGCTATTTCCGGCTCAAATACACATGGTAATCTTAATCTTTATTAATTTATAGAGCAAAAACTGTAATTAAAATTACACAATGCTAGAAAATATTTCTTTGAGATAAATAATAGTATTCTGTCTTATATTTTACTGATGACTGCATCAGAATTCGTCCCGTTATATTATTGTGCTTGTTTGAACCTGATTGCCGGAAACATGTGCACAGCTGATTGCTATTTCCGGCTCAGATACACACGGTAATCTTAATCCCTGCAAATAATACAATGCCCAGCAAAAACAACTTAAAAGGTAAATAATCTTGTCTAGTGATGTTTAATTGCAAATTTGACATCTCTCCTGACAAAGTCATCTTCTGTTGTTTGTTCACGCGAAGTGATACGATGTTGTTTTCTTACCCCTGGAAAAAAGTTTGACTAAAGCGGAACCCATGGATAAGACGACCCCCTTCTACAGACTGCTTTTTTGGGTCCTCAAAATTCGGCTTATAGACGGTAATATACGGTAGCTCATGAGAATAGGATTCTGTCAAGCCTAAGGCACACAACTGACGCAAAACTGATAAGCTTCAAAGTCGATGAGTGAGTGAGCTGTGTTAGCTGCTTTGAAGAGTATTCCAGTTACATCAAAGCATGTCAGCTTAGTTAATGTGGACAGTGGTCCGAGTAAAGTCTGAAATGATATATGTCTCACAGATTTACCACACTGGCTAAACCCATGAGCAAGGATGGATTTCAAACATAGGTTGTTGGCCTGCGTACCCTGATTAAGAGCACTAGGCTAAGTGTTCGTCACTTGAAGCTAAGAAGGTGAGCATTCTGGTTTTGACTGTAAGAGTGAGAGAGTGAGTATGGTTTTATGCCGCTTTTAGCAATATTCCAGCAATATCACAGCGGGGGACACCACAAATGGGCTTCACACATTGTACCCATGTGGGGAATCGAACTCAGGTCTTCAGCTTGACAAGCTGACACTTTAACCACCAGGCTACCCTACTGCCCCTTGATTGTAAGAAGAATTACTAAAAAACTAAAATTAGAGAGCATGGATATATGCCACTATTGGCAGCATACAAGGAAAATGGGCTTCACAGATAGTATCCAAACAGGAACCGAACCTGGGTCTTCAGAGTGACAAAATCTTTATGACAAGGCAACCCCACTGCCAGAACTAAATATATTCTTAAGTCACAAACAAATGTATGGAAACTAAAACAAATCACCCCAAACAAGGTGAGTTGAATGCCAAATCTAAAATCTGGCTAGTTGTCTGTGACATTGAACAAGTGAGTAAGGAAACTAACCCACTGAATGCCACTAGACCTTCAAATATTTACCACTCACAGGCAAGTTGGCTAGCAGTAATTACTCACTCTGCCATATTAACCATTCATGGTGCTGGAGTAAATATCAAGTCGGTAATAATTGATAGCAGCCTGTTATTTGGTTCATGTAGTGTTCAGTCTGTCTTTTTGCACATTACAATTACATATTTCTGATCTTGATGAAGTAACAAAATTTCAACTTGTTTTGGATTGCAATGTTTAAATGGAATATTCTGCAGCAGATTAATGGTCATCGATCACTGTTGATAAGAACAGTTCTTAGTGATATATCCACTAAAAAGTATCATAAAATATTGACATATCAATATACATGTATTGATTATATTAATTAAGAAACACAGTTTGCTCTACCACCATGTATGGTGTAATAAAGCACACTTTCGCCCTGAACTATTATAGTTAAGCATGAGGATGCTTGAGTGGTTTAACATTATAGTACTGGGCAAAAGTGTGCTTTATTACACTATAAATGGTGGTAGAGCAAACTGTATTTCTTTTCTCAGATGCCAAATTTGATACTTTCTAAGGCTAATTAAGATTAATTTAAGGCAGAAAACAAACGACGGTGTCGGTGACCTAAATTAAGAATCCTTGCACAGGGCTAACTGGCGTGCTGTTCTATTGATGTGTCTGCCCCTTACGTTAAGACGAACATTACTAGAAAAAACGATGAGCACAAGCCTCGAGTGTAGTCACCAAGTAAGAACATTGCATTTATCGCAACGAGAGTCCCATTTACACTGTCCCATACAGTCAATACAATATCCATGTGGATCACTCGCGGAGAACGCCTTTATTACACCGGGAGCATTATTTCCTCTTCTTTGGCTGGTCAACTTTCCCCATGTTGTAGACTAAGTTGAAAACGTTGAGCAAATCAAAATACGTCCACACTCGTATGCGACAAGAAAGAAAATGATGATTAGGAGATAGTCATGTGGGCAGCTAGTGGTGCATGCATGCTTTGCATGAGAGCTAGGAAGCTGTCTTATAATGAAGGTAGCATGGAGTGCTTGGGCGGATGGACAAGAGGGAAATTTTTTACATCGTTCCACTCAGTGTCGAATCAAGAGAGAGAAGTGCATACCGTGAGATAGGATAAGTTTTAAAATATTATTTTGACAAGTGATTTTTATTTTTTATTTTTTTCCCTCCTGCCTTTAGGTTTTCTGAGGACAAAAATCCATAAAACAAGAAATAAAATTAGTCTGGCCTTATACTACAATGGAGTTTTCTGATGATATCTCTTATAACCACATGTTCAACCATTCATCATCTGACATCCCTAACAAAAATCAATCAAGAGCTTCAACCCACCTTTTGATAATATTACCCAATTCCAAATAGTTTGCTCAAATTTGTATTGCTTGATATTTTTGAGTGAGTGTTTGGAAATTAAATTAAGTTGTTTCTCCCGGACATCAATTTACCCTTCAATACTTAAAGGTCACATGCAACGTAAAACACAACTTTGCAGATTCTGATACCCTTTCAGTATGGACTTACCGAAACAAATCATCAAAAATGCAAATTCAGCTTATAAAGTTGAAAAATAATGCGATGAAAAAAAACGCGCGAAATCGGAGTTCAAACGATTCACTAATTTTCCCCCCGACTTTTCGGGGGAAAACTGGTTTCAACAGCTGGGCTGCGCTCATAGCACGTGCGCAGTGAAATAGGTTCGCGCAACTTGGAAGCGGGCTGTCCGGTGAATACTCGGTGAAGGCTTTGGTGTGAGCTCTTTTCCTAATGTTTTGTTGATATCTCACAGGCGCGAGCTTTTTATATGTTATTATAGTAAATAAACTGTTCATATAATTTCATTTGTCTAATTCACCACACGTTCTTCTTACCCAGTCACTTTCTCAGTTCAATACTTAAAAGCAATGTCATTATTTAGCGTTGACAGAATTTCTAACTGTGATATAGATATGTCGTTGACACAGACAAAACTCAATGTCTTGTTTTATTGACACCTGTGTGTCTGCCTGCCTGTCTGCTAATGACAATATTCAATACACAACTGCGATCACTGACCACATGCAATTTGAACTTAACACCAATCAGGCTATACACTATAAACAAAACGCATTGATTTATGGCCCCAGTTCGGTCTCTGTCACATTATGTAATTACACAGACAGGCAGGTGTGATACTTGAACACATGACATGTTATGATGTCTGTTGATTGCAAAATGTTATACACAAAAAATGAGCATGTATTTACAAAACCCAACATCTCTATATATACACACACAATGAGCCGTGAGGGCATCTGCAAATGAACCAGCCGTTACACTTGAGTGCGCACCCACCCGCTCTGACTGGGTTCGGTATGCCGGCCGCTTCGTTTCTTGGGAAGTAAACCCAAGTACACAATATTGCACTTTTGATTTGCAATTGTACGCTTATAATTTTGTTTATATGTTTTTTTCATAACCAGCAATGTATATTATATGTCATGAATAAGTGATAATTGTGTTTTAATTATGTTGCATGTGACCTTTGATTGATGACATGAAAAAATTATTTTTGTGCTTTTACCAATAATAAATAAATCACCTAATCAACAGGATCGACTACCCCAAGCCTAAAAACACATAAAACTATGAAAGTATGATATTTGTAAATGGTGCATCAGACCCTTCCCTCCCATAACCCCTTCCAGAAGTCTCAAGAAATTAGTTTTAGAATTGACTGTGTACATAGGTTCCTCACCAAAATCACCTTGGCAGGCAAAATGGAAAATATAATTCACGGAGAATGAACAAAGTTTTTGTAAACTTTTTAAATCACAAAAATATAGTAATGTTGAATGTGATGCTATGAATACTTTTTTTTACAAAACTGAAGAGAAATTGTAGCACGGCATGTTGACAAGAAATCCTATTTGGTTGAATGAGGGACCACATTGTGTAGAATTGCAAGCCTGACACTGAGAAGTATGGACATAGGTTTGAAGCTTACTACAATAGGGGGTTTATGCACTACATCCCGATATCAAATTTTCAAGATTAGACTCATGGTGACGAAAAACAATTATGTACCAAAGCCTATTCGTCTCCCCTCGCCGCCATCTTTGACGATTTGTATGCCATTTTGGGATGCTATGACTACCGTGTTGGGATGCTATGAATGCCGTTTTGTAAGCTCGCCGACCGTTCTCGCGCGCTCTTGTAGCTGATACGCGAGTTTTGTTAACACTGATAACACTGGTGTACCTGTACCTACTAGACTTGTGAAATCATTAACGATTAGTACTAACTCTTTTTCAATATATTCTCTAGTGTCTGGGAGACACACTTCACACTATCAAGCATCATCTAGTGTCAGAGGGTCAGTAGGGTAGCCTAGTGGTTAAAGCGTCTGCTCTTAATGCTGAAGACCTGGGTTCGATTCCTCACATGTGTAAAGCCCATTTCTGGTGTCCCACACCACGATATTGGTGGAATATTGCTAAAAGCGGCATAAAACCAAACTCACTCACTCACTCATTAGACACTGACTTTTGTCTCATTGATTTCACATAAAACAATCGTGACTTTATGTATAACTGTAAAATGAGTCAGCAGGCACCAGTGTGAGTTCACACTGTGAGCAGGTGAGAATCTCTGTTGTAGCACTCTGAGCATGTGGTGAACACAGTAAGTCTCACTGTCATCTCACCAGTTCACCTCTTTCATGTCCAGCAGGGGGCACTGTCTTATCACAGATATTAATACAGAATAATTCTCCTTATTCATGTCGCAGATTTATGTATGTGCTTTTAACACAGAGCAATAGTAACAGTCATTGACTTTAGCCTCCACCTTGAAGACAGAAAATCTTTTGCTCTGATAATACACTAAGAGAGAAGTCTAAAAACAGAGTGTTGAACCCATGACAATACAAGTTCAGAATAGTTTTTGGCCTAGACTGTGGTAGTGCTATTACAAAAGGAAATGGGTGTTACAGATGCCCTTGAAGATCCTGGTTAGAATTTTATTCTCCATACTTGTCAGAACCCATACTTGTCGCAAGAGGCGACTAACAGGATCGAGCGGTCAGCATCTCTTATTTGGTTGACACATGTCATTGCTTCCCAATTGCATAGATTGATACTCATGCTGTCGATCACTGGATTGTCTGGTCAAGACTCGATCATGTACAGACAGCCGCCATAGAGCTGGAATATTGCTGATTGCGGCAACAACGAAGATAGGGTGTTACAGATGGAAGTAAAACAGCCATAAATGGACCGAGGTGTCTCAGCATTCATTTCCCATGTCAAATGCCTCATGCTATGATATTTATAGACATCTTCATGCTTTCACAACTAGGTTACCAGTTTCACATCTTGTACTTTATGAAACAGTGAACAGGAATGTATGGGTTGTCATATCAGTGTTCATCTTAGCAACATAACTGATGCCAGTCAAGCAAAATGTCTCCCTCTTTCTTTCAGTTCAGGAAATAATCAGCAGGTATTATTCAAATAAGAACACCAATATTCTATATGTTATGCAAAAATTGTTGGACTAAGAAAATGTTTTAGCACAGAGTGTCTATAACACGTAACTCTGCACTCACAGCAACAAGAGGCAATATGTACTTAACTGTATTTACACCCTACATCATCACTTGAATATCCTTCATCATAATTTAAACTTAAACATAACGACATTACTTTTCATGTTTTATTGACTTCTACCTCTAGTTTGACCCATCAGTGTTTCGACTTCAGCTTCTGACTGTGATAAGCATCAGAATTTAGTCACTTTAATAAATGCTTCGAAAACAGGAAGACAACATTAAATAGAAACAGGAACTTCATTCAATATTGTGCTTATCACTGACTCAACCTGTTTAAGATTAAGCATATTACTCATCCTGTTACATTGCTAAGTAACATGTTTGACATGGGTGAAATGGCAACTGAAGATGAAGACAATATGAAATATTCAACACTTTGACAGTACAGACAATATTACACATAATAACAATAAATAGCAGATTGTGTATGACATACCCTTCTCTTCATGAAATCAAATTTGGCTTGACAGTTTCTGTTCATGCAGAATCCCATCTGCAAAAAGATCAAGAATGCAAGATGTAATCATTTGGCAATTAACAATAGTCACAATTTTCATCCCAAAGCTACGAAAATATTTTAAGTGAATATAAGGCCAGACCAATTTTATTTCTTGTTTTACGGATTTTTGCACTTTCATTTGAAACTCTTTACTCAAACATAGGAAGTTTTAAGCATTAAAACAAAAAGGAATGTTCAAAATAATTTTCTGGAATCTCAGTACAGGAAGTTACTGAACATGCTGAACCCTCTTTTCAACATATTGACATTTCAATATCATACAGTAATCAACTTACATAAACTTTATTCCAACCATCATTCATCAAGTTTACAGCAATAAAGCATGAAGCATAATTCAGCATTGATTGTAATCTGCCTGGGCTTCCTGCATCCCCAGAGGTATTTTGAACTTGCTGGACACTTTTCAAAGTTGAATCTAACTCATGCAGATTAGACAACCTTGTCTACAATTTAATGTGATGAGAGATGCAAAAATAAAGGGCCATTTCATTGATGGTTCTGGGTGTTAACAAATGATGCACATTTAGTCAATTCAAAATTCAAATCTCAAAAACCTTACAATAGAGCTCAGTACATAAGAGACAACTAACCAAGAGCACAGAAACAATGGTTCGGGTCATGTTTTGACTCCAGGCAAATTGAGTGAGTTTAGTTTTACGCCGCACTCAGCAATATTCCAGCTATATGGCGACGGTCTGTAACTAATCGAGTCTGGACCAGACAATCCAGTGATCAACAACATGAGCATCGATCTACACAATTGGGATACGATGACATGTGTCAACAAAGTCAGCGAGCCTGACCACCTGATCCCGTTAGTCGCCTCTTACAACAAGCATGGGTTACTGAAGATCAATTCGAACCCGGATCTTCAGAGGTCAAGGCAAATTGAAGAGAAACCTTGTGTGTTTCCTGTACAAATGAGATACAAGATACTGATTTCAGCTTGATGGATTAGAAATCAATGTTTATCAAAGTCCAAATTACAACAAAAATGTCTCAACTCATGAAACCAAATATTCTCCTTAGTACCCAGAGTTCCCTGCAACCAGACAAGTGCCTCTGATATACTCTCATCTTAAACACACCATTCAAGATATTGCATATCTTAGTTTTGTGCTAAGTCTTAGCAAATAAAACAAAACATGTGAAGAAATAGAATCGGCCATAATATACTTTCACTGAAAAAGTACCCTAAAACATGAAAAACTATTTCCAGTTGTATATATATTGGTTACACTTGTTGTATGACTCCACATGCTGTCATTGGAAAGCATTTGATGTGTAAAGCTACCTTCTCAAGCAGCTGTCACAGCTGACATAGCATCTCTATATAACTACACAAAAGAGTATATAAAGTGCACTGAAAGACTTGCATTACTCATCTGTTCTTACTTCAGAATAAGAATGTTAGTTGAGAAACAAGAGAAAGGTCTGATCACGTCAGAGAGAAGTAAGGTCACTGCAGCGGATTCTTCTCTCATTTGACAAAGTGAGCAGAGTAAGTAAGCTCCGGGTTATCGACTACTGTCTCCAAGCAATGATTTAAAACGGTAGTGATTCTAGTCCTTTAATGTTTTGCTATTCTCAATGCACAAGTATGTCAGAAAGGCAACCATAATCATTTACAGTATTTGATATATACATGATGACATAGTGAAAAGTTATTTTTAGCAGAAAACTCAAAGAATATACCTAACTTGAGTTTGGCCCTTTAGTTTTTAATACATTTGCAACAGTCGGCACTCAACACTGACAACAGTCAACTGACACCCTCCATTAAAATGACAGCACTGAAGTTCGACTTCCAAATTTACTACTTTAAACGTTCAGTTTCCATGAAACAACGATGCTTTGATGTAATCGATGATGACTGAACATGGTTTCCACAGACGCAAACCCTGTAAATGAATGTCCCTTTTACTGTTTACAAACACACTTGTGAAAGTGGCCGAAGTGGGTGTGGTTCACTGACATTTGAGACAACAGTATTGTCCGTTGTAACAGTAGCAAGATTTCTAGCAAAATTAGTCTTACGTCTGCATCCGGGATCCATTGAGGTTCTGGTAACGTAAATGGACTGGTGTCATTTGCATTCATGCAAACCATACGCAAACCACTGTGGGAACGTACAAGTTTCTTTTCCCCAGTCGCCGCCATGTTTTCCAGGCTCTAATTTCCACGAAACTAATGTTGTACGAGAGAACTGCCCAGGACGTCAGCTGGATAGCGTCATATGATTCTCAGATATAGAGGGATAATCAAAACACTATTTGACTGCATTTGTTGACCATTATTGAAATATGACAACATGTTGTGCTTTATACTTACATCCATGGATATGATATGGTATGGGTTGGTCTGTAGGGAGTAGCTGTAATAGGTTACATTATTTGGATACACGAACCTTTCATTATTTGTTATTTTAACCATTGAAAACAAATTAATAATAAGGCAATTAAATGAGTGCAATGGATATGTAAACATGTTTATTTCTTAATAGGACAACGGCCAACATGAAAAATACATTTAACATACTTTCAAAAGCGCATTGCCAACATCCGCCTCCCCCCACCCCCACCAAACCCCCTTACAAAGACATTTCGTGACAGCAGACAGCACTAGAAAGAAGATAAACATTCATGGATAACTCAAATTATAGTTTTGCTTTACCTGAAATATATGATAAACAAATTTAGCTAAGTTTAAGGTTAATACTTAAACTTTGGTTTGTAAAAGATTTATAACTTTATATGTCACGATAATTTAAAATTGAAAAGGAATCCCCATGAGATGGGATATTCAGAACCTGACCCCGAGGTAAATCGAGACTTCCTTCATTTAGGATGTATTACAGGAAGTGTTGGGCCGATGAAATACTCAATGGGTCGGTGTTTCCTATATATTGTTGCGTAGGTGATGAAGGAGGTAGATTTTCCTAGTTTGGTGAGGACCACCAGCACGGATCCAGACCAGAGAAAATCTAGACTTGCTTCAATGACAGATTATATACTAAAGGATCCATTGACAACGACATTAGAATCTATATCGAAACGTCGCATAAACAGAGTGAAGAAATTGTATATCAAAGCAAATTTCCTCATTCTTCAATAGGGCATCATTACCCCTTTCACCCACCCCTTTCTGCAATGCGAAATTGCAGAAAGGGGTGGGAGGAAGGGGAAATAATGCGGTTCAGGAACTTTGAGACAGACTATAATGCTTTCCAGACTCGAATGTTTATAGGCCAGCGCCATAGAGGACTCTGTGTTATCCGGGAGCGGTGGTTTAGCCTAGTGGTTAAATCGTCACCTAGACTAATGCTTAGTCTCTGAATATATATAATTTTGATAGTAACAAACAAGCCCATTTAAATTGAAAAGGAGCCCCAGGGAGACCAGAGATTCAGAACCTGAACCTGAGGAAATATAGACTTGCTTTATTTAGGGCTTTAGCACTGCAGAGAGAGCTTGGCATTTGGGAAAATAATGTGGTTCAGGGACTGTGAGACAGACTAATCGTCACCCTGAAGACCCGGGTACATGTGTGAAGCCCATTTCTGGAATATTGTTAAAAGCGGCGTAAAACTAAACTCGCTCACTCACTCACTCACTTTCTCACTGTGTTATCCGACACAGATCGGAAAAAGCAGGGCTTCCAGGAGACACCCGCGTGATTCGCCGAGGTAGTCTGTAAACCAGCAAATCAATTACGGAAGCAATTAATGATTAACTCTGGTGTTGCACCAAAATGAAATGTTAATTGGTACATTGTATCGTTTAATCCTTGTTTATTAAAGGTTGTATGCCAGAGACCATGCTGTGCCAGAATCAAAATTTACAGTCGGATAACACAGAGTCTACCGTGCTAATAGCAACAACAAAATTTGACAGGTGGACGCGATTACGGAGCAGATACCGGTAGATATATCAAGTATAATCCAAGGAATGTAATGACGTGAAAAACGTTGCCGTTCGGAAAGTAGTATAAGAATCATTTCCTTTGACATTTCTCCGCTAGAGGGCTTGTAACCAAATGCAGTCTTCATGTGATGAAATGATAAGTGGTTGTACACGATAATTTCGTCGTTTGTTTGTTCAAAACTGTTAACAATGTGTCGTATCCAAAGCGTCTATATCTTGGCGTTTTTGTACATTCAAAGTGGAACGTGTCAAGGTAATTTACTGAATCAATTTAGTGATGCACTATTGGTGTCACTTGGCCACCCCGGGACAGACGCCGACGAAAGAACTGCTATATGGGGTCCTACAGTCAAGATTTGTCCCTACCGAGAACACCACCTTCATAAATCCTATTCCAGATTGTGGTGGCCGATTACCCCTTATATTTTCTTGAGATGTATATCATTTACAAATATTTCCAGTGGCAGTTGGCTTCTGAAAGGTAGACGAGAGCCCCGATGAGACCCTAACAGTGACAGCATCGCTTACTGAAAAGTTGAGATCGATATATACTCCTAAATATGAATACTGCAATCAGGATGCTTCTTGTTGAGACACGCACATGAGTATGTTAAAGATTGTTTACATTGCAGTTTTACAAGGTATCTTTATGTCTTAATTTTACAGATACATGACAATATGATTAAGCATACTTTGTAAAGTTCTAATTTCATGTTTCCTTATTATGAATATTGATAAGTCTCCCCAGCTCATCGATTATCACTGATGCAAGCAAGATCAATCGATTTGACCAATTATTTGATCAATCGCTCCTGTACTACCTGCCGTAATTTATTTAGTTCGTTTGTGTAGGCGTGAGGGAGGTAGGGTAGCCTAGTAGTTAAAGCATTGGCTCGCAACGCCGCAGACCCGGGTTCGAATCCCCACATGTGTACAATGTGTGAAGCCCATTTCTGGTGACCCCTGTCGTGATATTGCTGGAATGTTGCTAAAAGCGGCGTAAAACCAAACTCTCAGTCAGTCAGTTGTGTAGGCCTGCGTGTTTTACATGATTACTAATTTGACCCAATGAAATAAAGGAAGGATCAATTTAGTTCTGTCCAAGGATTTGTGGCGTCAGCAGTTATCATAGGCTTGGAGGATTTATCTTATTCACATTGTATGTTTCAGTGTGATTTTGTGCACATACTTCATAGAAAGATAACATTAATTTTGTCTTCATGTATACTGTTCAGACTGTTGAAAATGAAAAGCTATTACTCTCTTGGCAAATTTCAATGACAACAGTCTCTAACTCATTTTTCAGACTGTACTTTCTTTTGGACTGATATTTGAGTTATGGAAATGTACAACAGTATTTCACTTATTACACACAAGATGTTGTAGATGTACAATATGAGCAAAATAATGTTTTCAAGCACACCGTTACCATAACATGAGTATTTAGTGTAAGGTGCTAAATCATATTTTCCAATGTACAAATAGGTTCACACCCTTGAATAATACACTGATCATCAATATCAAAAGGTTTTTTTTTCAAAAACAATAGATTGAAAAAAACAACCTTTACAATCTGAAGAATGTCGTAAGAGACTGTTGTCATTGAAATTTAGAAAAAGACTATGTTACAAAAAGATCAGAGTGCGACTATGACAGTGTAAAACTGTGTGCTTTGCCCGTGATGGAATACTGATGTCACCATGTGCAGAGTACCGCTAGTAGAAGACACCTTTAAAAACAAGCTGTAGAAATCTGGCACTGTACAACATGTCAGCTAACTATCATTGAAACCTGAAGTAAACAGGTTGCCAGGCTGTTTCTACGTACGTTTCTGGTAATAAAATTATGACAGGAGTTTATCAATAACAATGGATTAATAGCAAATAGTTTTAAAAATCTCAAGAAAATCTGAGGGTAATCAACCACCACAATCTGAATAGGATTTATGAAGATGGTGTTCTAGGCTGCAATTTAGGTTCACATCTTCACTGTAAGACCTCATTGCAGCTCTCAGGGACGATAGACATAGGAATTGTTTTCAGTTGCTATTTTCGTATGTTATAATAGCCAGGTGACTTAGGTGATTGTGCCTTGACTGTCAGACACATTCACAGCTGTCAGTCATTCAATCAATCTGACATAGTACATAGATAACACTAACTTGGCCCAGGTAGTCAAAAATATATTGGCTGTAAGAATATAAACTGAAAATATATGACATTCATGAACATATAATCCAATGACTTAGTCTCCTTGGGATCAGTAAATGAGGACTTTGACTATGAGATTTTGCATGGTGCAAAACTTTGTTGACTATGAAATTGCTGTTCATGATGTCAATCACTGGGTTGTCTGGTCCAGACTCAGTTATTAACAGACTGACATCATTCATCTAGAAAAGTTCAGTGAGCTTCAGTATTTGTGATTGTGTCCTGTCTTTAAGAAATCTGCTTTTCAGTCTTGTCTTGCCAACTATGTATTGAACATATGTGTTCTAATGAACTGTTATTTAATTCGCTGACAGAATGGAACTGGATAAAGGGAGACAATTCCATTGGAACATTGTCCTCATCAAATGGCCCAGGTGCTCGCAGTGGCAGCAGTGTTTGGACAGATGAAGATGGCATCACATGGTTGTTTGGAGGCAAGGGTTTCTCTGATATTGATGAGGGCAAGCCAAAACTCCTCAATGACCTATGGACCTTCAACAATCAAGACAGAAGATGGAATCTTGTTCATTCAGGAACTGTTAGTGAAGCTGCTTCTGACAACGTGGCTCCATCACCACGGCAGCAAGCAGCTGCATGTGGTTTTACAAAAATATCAATGGTTGTGTTTGGAGGTCTTGATGAGGAGGACAGTGGGATTGGAGATACTTGGGTATATAACATGCAAAAGAGGAAATGGCTACCATTACCTGAAATTTCTAACTTCACTTCGAAAACTGATAACACTTCTCTGGAAATGCCATCTGCACGTGGTGACATGGCTTCATGGTGCATGCTGGACAGGATGTATGTGTTTGGAGGAATGGATAAAAGTAATCAGATTTTCAATGACCTTTGGAAATTTTCTCTCAAAGATTTAGAATGGTCAGAAGTTATTCATCCCAACAAACCAGCAAATCCAAATACTGACTCTGATCATTACCCTATGGGTCGAAATGGACCAACGACATGGAAAGGCAAGGACGGTAATCTTTTTATGTTTGGAGGGAACATATTAGGTACTAATGTACGCAGTCGGCATTTGAATATGGGGTATACATCAGATATGTGGAGATACTTATCTCACAATAACACATGGGTCTTTCAACATGGGTACAGATCTAGTTGCCATCCAGCAATGTATGGGCGGAAATATGAATTCTCCTCAGTGAACATCCCAGGGTGTAGACGGCGAGGAGCAGCATGGATGGACACAGGTGGGAGGCTGTGGTTGTATGGTGGTGATGGAACAGATATGTCCTATCCATCTGTGTTCCATTCATCAAAACTCCTAGCAGATCTCTGGCTGTTCAGAACATGGGATAAGGTATGGTTCTGGTTTGGAGGAAGTGACAAAGGCGACGCAGAACCGAAGTACTTCTGGAAGAACTATGCTGGTGGAGATGCTCTGCCTGGGGGGAGATATGAACCTATTTTCTGGACCGGAGCAGATAACACCTTCTACCTATTTGGAGGCCTTGGACACGATGGACATAATCATGATGGCTACTTGAATGACCTTTGGGTGATGGATGTGGATTACCTCCTGGAGCATAATGGAGTTCCAGCAGGTGCTCTTATGCTGTATCTGCTGATGGCCCTTGCTCTTGTTCTCACCATGGCTGGAATCTTCCTTTATGCACGAGACAGAAAAGGACCTTCCATTTGGAGTCGTCTCAATAATGATGTCAAATACAGCCAGCTAACAACAACAGGAGATTAGATAGAATGTTTAATTCTAGGTTTTTGGCTAAGAATTATAGTAAATGTGATACACCTTCAGGTGGATGAAAACAATTTGGGCATGCACCATGACATCGGACATGAGGTCAAGACATTTAGATGTGAAACTGCTATTGTCATCAAGCTTCAAAACAGAGTTCCAGCTAATTGAAATTCATTATTTGTAATGCGAAGGATAATATTTACTAATGTCTTAGAATTGACTCTTCCAGATTTGTATTTCGGGCATCCATGTAAGCATGTATGGATAGAAATTAACACAACATAGTTCACCCTAATGTTAAACTTCAGTGGACATAGATTTTGAAGCATTGACGTCTTCAGTCTGTGATATGAGTAAACTTTTAATATGATTAGTTTCCCACATGGCTTTCTTGATGATGGAATAGTTATTGTCATCTCACAAGTAAAGGCTTTTCTGCATCTTATTATTCTGCTGAATTCCTCATCCTTGAAGAAGTCAACATGGAATTGTGCAGAACCCTTGTGGCTGCAGAGTTATAGATCTTTCCAAAGTACAATCTAAGCCTTTTGCATACAATAATTCAAATATCAAAGATAACTACTACCTTTTGTGTGTCTCACAGACATGTACTGTGTATGCTAATCTGTCAAACCAGAAATGCACAAAAATCAATATAACTGAAAAAAGCAATCGAAAGGCATTAATGTAAAAGGATGGATTCCAAATGTGTAAATGTACAAAGTATGTCGTCTCTGCACTTGTGTTTTAACAACAAACATTTCTCATTCCATGATGAACACACAGTAATCCAATGGCCTCCGGAATTTATTATGTTCAGGGTGAAATTCTTTGATAAAACACCTTTAGGGACGTGATATCTGCTACTGGTGTCCCTGACTAGGTTTGGGGATCAGCTGAGTGGAAGTATGTTTCATTAAAGATATTGTAGATGGCTTTTTAGGAAATGTTGTATTATTTTTGTAATCCATCTTCAGGTTAAATAACCAAGCTGATAATGCTTCACATATCACACTGAACATGCTGAAGAACGGCACACCGTCTCCTTCACTTGGGTATTTGCTGTAGTGTTAAACATCGCTTAAGACTATTTTCACAGCTTTGGGTGTTCATGGTAACAGTTGCTTAACCTGTGAAATACGATGCTTATTGGTTATATAATATCAGTTTATCAGAGTAGAATACTGCATTATTTGTTGACCCTGTTGACCATAGTATAATCATTTACAATCATAATCAAATGATAATACATTGTGTAGTTGTTGTGTTTTCTATTTGTATCTTTATTAGAACAAAATATGCGTCTCCTTTTTTATATTAATTTTTATTTTGAACAGTTGAAACCATATTGTTATGCAAATATATGTATTGTCCTCATATTTTGTGCTCCCTAATCATTGTAGTGTGTGGAAACAGGCTTCCTCTGTCCATCCACTGTGATTTGTGTCTAAAACACCCAAGCCAAGGGTGATGCCTGTTTTGGATAATTTTCCTTATGTGTCATTATTCCCGACATTTAGAGCAAGCATTGCTTTTATATCAAACACCATTTTGAATATATATACATGAACTGGTCAGTCTCTGCCATACAGTTTTAGTCAACCGCTCTGAACCTAGCTGTAACCATATAGTAGCAGCATTTTAAGTAGATTTTAGTATCACAAAGTGGGCTTTTAGGAGCTGAGCTTACTCGACCAAACATAATTTTAATACCTACAACTTCAGATTAGTGCTTTTTACAGACTGGGTTATGCAAGAACACACACATGGGCCTAGGGCTGTGTACAACTTTTAAGGTCGGTGATGCTATTTTTGAAACAGTATGGAACTGATGTGATGGCAAATATACATGACTCTATTCTTCATGGTTTCTTTGTGCCCTCAGTGATACATACATGTGAACCGGGCGCAGTGGGCGAGCTGGCTAAGGCGTCAGGCTAGTGATCCAGCGAGCTTGAGGTGACGGGATCGAGCCCACCTGTGACCAGGTGTAAAAATCCTTGGAGTCAACTTTGTGTGCAGACTCTCTCGGTGTTCTTTAATGTTCTTTAACTGTAGGGGCGGTGGGGTAGCCTAGTGGTTAAAGCGTTGGCTCGTCACACCGAAGACCCGGGTTCGAATCCCCACATGGGTACTATGTGTGAAGCCCATTTCTGGTGTCCCCTGCCGTGATGTTCCTGGAATATTGCTAAAAGCGGCGTAAAACCAAACTCAGTCAGTCTTTAACTGTATGTTACAGGCCATATAGTTTTCCTGTACTGCATATAACATTCTATGAAGAGTTCTGGAACAGTATTTTGCAAGACGTGTATTTGAATGTTCGGTCAGTGGAATTGAAAATAAAATTAGCTATGTGAACTGCTTTGGCCAAGTTTAGTACATTTGTTGTGGTCATGTAATACCCTTGAAAGCATTTTCCTCATTCCTAGCAGAATGTCAGCATCCAAACACATGGATGAAAGTCCTTTTCATAACCACAGCGTTAAAAGTTAAAGGTTTAGAGGTCATCAGGGATTACTCCCCATCCCTCTTAAGTTAGAACTCTGAAGATGATTTTGACTGTTTATGAATGTTAGTGTAATTGACTTTTTTGCACCTTGCCTGAAGCTGGTGGTAGATATAGGAGAGGAAGCTGTAGTGTATAGGCTGATTATACCTCAAGATGCCTTACTGCATAAATCTAACAGCAGGGTGTTACCTTGACCAAGGCAACTAGGAGACCAAATGACCTCTAATTAATGTCAAGGATCCTTGGAGGAAATATGAGGGTTATGTAACAGATTGGATTTCATGGTACTGTAAGAGTTGATAATTACATGTACTCAGTACTTTATTTACATGACCTTTCTATTTCTTGTCAAGAATTGTGTACAGTGAATATTATTGGACATTCCTTTGGATGGAAAATATATTTTCTCTGCATCTGTTCTGCACATTTGTGCATGTGTAGGGAGACATGTACTTTGTTTTTCTTCCTGTTGATAACTTTCACTGGTTGCAAATATTGTAAAGTGGGCAAGAAACACCGAAGAAAGTCATACATCTGTCTTGGAACAAATTTCTGATAACTTGTCAAAGAATATATTATACTCTACCGTACATAATAGTTGACAACAGCAGGCAATGGCAAAGTGTATTCTTCCAGTGTGGATTTTGATAGCATATACTCATGGAAACAAATAAGGGAACACATGAAAGTACAAGTGTTCCTTTATTCTTTTCCAGGTTTTTTCACAAGGTATGTATTGCACTGTAGGTGAAATTCTGGAAATAAATAAAGGAACACCTGTACGTTCATGTGTTCCTTTATTCGTTTCCATGAGTATATTATTCAGTGAAATAGTTCTGAATGTAGCATTCCAGTTGTCGGTGGCCCAGTTGTCTAAGGTGCCACAATTTGGTGTGCAGGGTTGCCTCCCTTGGGCATGCCAGAAACATATGGTCGTGGGTTTGAATCCAGGTTCCCCCTCATGTCCCTGGCTTGTCAGCACTATGTCCATGCTCACTGATTTCATCAAAATAGTTATTGTCTGAGACCAACATCTGTCTGGGCTTATCCCCTACATTACGGCGATGCACGGTCACTGGTTACATAACTATCCCACTGTTAACAGAGGCGAAAAACAACTAATGCCCTCTTATTCAGTTTGGTTTTCATATTTTCTTGCTTTAATGAATGGTATATATATTGATATATATTCTCATGATGTATTGTGGTTAAGGCAAGAAATTTTACTTATAGTACACTAGTACTTGTTTTGATATCATTTTATACATAACTCCCAGCAATGTAGTAGGCATACTATTATTGTCACATTTCACTGAGAAATGTTCAAATCAGGATAGTTTATCAAGTCATGTCAACATTACATTCTTGGCATTGTGACTGCTTATCAAGTCATTATAAACATATTCATGTTTTTGTGACATTTGATGATGACATTAGGACATGATCAAGTTATTGAGGCATTTTTTCAATGTCATAGTTGTTTCTAGACATCCTTTTCCAAATGTCTATCAGGGGCACGCACAAACCTTTTTTAATAATGTGTATACTCAAATGTTTGTATTTTACCCATTTTCCACCCTTGATTATCCAGTGTATTGTGATAAATATCCTAGACCAATTTACCACCAAACCTGACCCCAGACCGACCAATTTACCACCAAACCTAACCTTGGACAGATTTGGCACAAAACTCTTTTAGGAAGTGATGTCACCATTCTTGTTTCTCTTAATGCCAGCTTAGCATGGACTTTTATTCAGCAACAACCAAAATGGCACTTAAGTGACTTTTGGGGCCCATTTCATCAAGTCAGAATAGAACTACTACTGTCATTAACCTATGTTAAAGATGGTGAGTTACTGTCACCTTTGCTACATGTTCACTTTGTAGGAGGGGCCAGGAACAAACTCTGTACTAGCTCTATACTAAACATCACTGACTCATAAGAAGTGAACCCTGATGAGTGTTATCAGATGGAGAGTAATGTTCTAATGCCAGTTGGGAGGATGTATAAAGCTACAAGGTGGTTCCAAGTCGAGTCGTGGGTATGGAGGTTTCATTTCCTGATCACAAAAGTACAGTATACTTTGATGGGACAGCTGTTTTGTCAAAACAAATCTTTGGTGGTAAATGTGTTCAGAATATTTGACAGTAGCAGTTCTGAGCTTAATATGCAGGATAGTCTTAAGTCAAGGATGTCCATTCCCCTGTGCCTCCTGAGTAACTCTAGTATCTGTGATGAATCTTCTTGTTTTATATATCAGTTATCATGCTTGGTGTGTGTCAGTGAACATTCCAGGTCCTAGCACCCTTTTGTGTCAAGCATAATCAGAATTTTTAACACTGTATACTTTTCATCTTGTTGATCAAATTAAGATCAGTATTTTGTATACATTTGTAAAGTATTGTAATCTGTGTCCATGGAAGTATATCTTTGTTTGAATTGAGCATATTTTGATAATCAGTCTTTCTTTTTAATCCAATATATACAGAAATAGTAATGAATGGTGTAACATATGATTGAAGAGTTGTATGGTTGATGTGTAAGTGTGTACAAAACAATGGTTATAATCATGTGTGAAATCATTGTATTGGGACACAGCAAGTCATGCTCTTAAGGCACTCATGGCAAAATATCTTAATTGCATAGATCAATGCTCATGCTGTTGATCACTGAATTACCTGGTTCAGACTCGATTATTTAGAGACCACTGCCATATAGCTGGAATATTGCTGAGAGCGGCGTAAAACTAAACAAACTCACTCATGGCAAACTAGATTCTTGGTCAGTTACAGGTAATTAATTACATCAAATCAGCTTACAGTACCACAGAATATGACCATAGTCCGACTGCCATTGATAAGTCATCAGTTGACATGAAGTCATCAATAGCTGTATCTATGACC